CCCTTGAGCTTCATGTGAAACTTCACAATCAACCCATAACCGACGCTTATCGATAACGCTGTTCATCGACAAATCATAATCGCTCTTCTATCTGCATGAAAAAAATGTAGATCATGCCGCTGTGAAATCTAGACCTCACAATTGGTATTTTCACGACATAAGAAATGAAATGATATCTGACACTGTACGACTGAAGAGACGTGATACTTCTTTTTTTTGCAATTTTTAAAAATAACTAATCAGATCTTACATTATACGAGTATATCTGATAATGTAGGAGAAAACTGTATTACATAATATCTGAGTTTAACCTAGAACTATCCAAAAGTAAAAAGGTGATAATCACGACTGAAAATTTCAATTTGATATATCACTTGGACATCGTGATCTGTTACCGGTATACACAAACTGCGTTTATGTGAACTGCATTTGGATTGCACCTAAAAGTTCCTAGTATATAACAGGTGGTCATGATGGTTTGTAAATTTTTTATATTTATATTTTATTTTAATTTTTATTTTTATTGTATTTCATTTAACGACCAGTTATGGTAGGTCCCATTGTTCTCAAAAACAGAATCCCAATAAAACGGTCAAAATATAGGGGAAAAACTTTCTAGATCCGCTAATTCTTAACACCTGAGCTAACTATTATTGTCTTCAGATGTTTTGTATCAACAATTTCATGTTAGGACATCGAGATTTAATTTTACGATTAATCCTCCGTGACCATACTTTAAATTATTTCGTTGTGCCACATAAAAGTTAGTAATTGATTATATTATAAAGCTGGTCCTATTGGGGCCTATGAAAGGGCCCAACCCACATCGCCTTCTAACTGATAATTTCATAGCCAAAACGTCTAACGACGAAAGCACTGAAAGGAAGACGGACCAGGCTTGAAGAATACGTCGGAAAAGTTCCAGCCATGGAGATCCACAATGAAAACGAACTGGTACGCAGGCCCGTTCCCGTTCCCGTTCCCGTTACCGTTCCCCAAGCTTCGTCGCCCCTCTAGAAGGCCCTTTTCTGCAATCTGGATTCCCCATCGCATGTAATCCTCCTTGGAGATGCAGGAAAGAATCCCCTTGAGGTCCGTCCCGCCCTGGTCGACCAGGAAAACTGCGGATGCAAAGGACGCGGTGAATGCTCCGGTCCCTTCGACTCGTTCGAACGAACGGCAACTGGGACTAAAGTCTCGTTTGGATGCATTTATTTGAATAAATCTCTTGGAATATTTCATCGAGGCATAATAACTTAAAATAATCTGATCTCATGACGGTCCTCTATGGGGATCCAAGGGAGATGATCTTATTCCCACAGACGCCCATTATGAAACCTGCTCCATTTTCCGCAGGAAGTCGGTGACGGACGCCCTTGGAAAAACGAATCCTTCTTCGGAATTCGTCTTCAGTCTACGATTCAAGGGGATCATGCCGAACAACCTCTGAGATTCTGTGTGGGGGGTTAAACCTGCCGTGGAACAAGTCATCATTCGAGATGAGTTGAAGAGAGAAATATACTGATTGCCTTTGGTGCATGCCATATATCAGTTTAAAGGTGAGTTCAACTCATTCTTAAGCATATTTACTGGAATTCGATCAGATTAGCTTCTGAATCGATGTGGTGCTTGTCACCCAAAGAATCGAGAAGGAATCATGAATGGCAGATGGATCCATCATCATCTTGTTAAATCATTCATGAAAGCTGACGCATTCCGAATTTTACGAAAAATTTTTTTACTGGAATGCCTTATGCTCCAAAGTGTATGCGTCCGGCGCCTGCATCGACGACAGACAAGGCCTCCACTCCCTCTACGAGAGAAACATCCATTGCAAGCCGAGCGAACACTTTGAGTGAATTGGATGGCAACCAGATCTTCCCGTTTCCTCGTGGAACGAGAGAGCCGGTATGACTCGACCCGAAATTAGTTCTCGTACGAAGTTATACACCTCATATTTCGCATGCTTTGATGGAGACATCTAGATTGCGCTGATTCTTACCGGCTGACCCTTCGAGGTCGTACCCGAGGAACCCGAACGCCCCGTACCGCTCCAGCAGCGGGGGGGCCTTCCACTCGTCCCGCAGGTACTCCGGCCTCCACTTCTCCCTCCATTCCAGGTGCTGCACATATGCGCACGATATGGCACGGCATAATATCATCGATAGAGGCCTTCACGGTATCACTTCATTAATGGAATGGCGGCGGGTATATTAAAGAAAAAAGTCCAGATCTACACTCTTAAAAGTGTAACTTTCATGTGACCTTTATTTAGAAGTTACTCCTGGATTGAAAGAACATTACAAAGTTTCTAAGGGTTCGTAACCTTGGCGATGATTTGCACCTCTTTATGCAAAAATAATCTCAACATTTACCTGGATATCGTTATCTTCGATTCCTGTCGAAGTCTTCAAAGGTAACGACGAAAGACCACTATTTAAGCTTCATTTCGAATGTCTCTCTTAAAAAATGTATTCTAAATATTGGTTATGCCAATGAGAAACGTTACTTGCGCTGCGACCGTGACAGGTCATCCCGAGAAATGAAAGGATATCACAAAAGAAAATATGAGAATCTCCGCAATTCCCACTCGTAGGAATCAAGCATGAATGGCATGTAGAGTACTGTACAGTAGACCGATGTCCATGAAGTACATATAAAGTCGGCCCCAGATGCGGTGACACTGAGTGCAGCGCATCTACTTCTTGATTGAAAGAAGCGAACTTTAACGATCGTTGTACCCCTCATTTCAGAGGTTGAAAAAAAATTTTTTTCGCCAGAAAACCACGGAGATGAAACCTCGATATATGTCCTTCTCTGAGTCAAGTAGCAATCACGGCGCAAAGATGGCGCCAGTGTCATCCCGGCCTTGACCCTTGGTGTTTGTTCTCTCTGAGATAAGTTTGTGCAGGAGTGGATGAATGGAGTTGTGAGAGCCTGTGTACAAAGTAAACTCACATTTGAATCATTCATGAATTAATGTTGGAATTCTCTATGCAATTCTGAGCCGTACAAAAGAGCAGCTTCACACAGAGTCAGGAGTAAAGAAAGCGAACTGGAATTAATACCAAATGTTATTAATCGTCATCCAAGTTGAAATTTCCCTTATTTCCGTTAAGAACGATGTGAACGTCGAAGGTTTGTCGACACGCGCCTGCGATCATCGAGGTTATCTCATGGGCATGAAACTCAAACGATGACTGGAATGATTACTTTGGACTCTGGTTATATGAAAAAAGCATGACGTGTGTTTCTTATGAAATTGTCATCCTTCCCAGCTGTAATCCAACCGCGGAAAGGAGCTGTGAAAGTGGCTGGAAATCTGAACTGCGTGGAACGATCATTTAAACGATCAAGAGTGTGTTTTCGTTTTAGGCAACTTTCATCCTGTAACTTTTAATGTAACTCTAATTTAAAGGGTAAAAATTGCCAGTTTTCTAGCCTTTCCTGCCTGTCACTCAAAGGTTACACATTTAAGAGTGTTTCCGTGCAACGGACAACACAAATTGCGTCCCTCTCTGGGGATTGGCTGAGTTTTTTTTCACGATGAAGGAAGCAAGAAATGAATTCCACTATATTACCCGTCATAAAATACACATACGAGGGATGGAAGGAAAGAGATTGGACTCACGGCTCGAAACATCTTTTCTGCCCGGTCAACGTTGAAATCCCTCGCTAGAAAATACGGGAAAGCGGAAGTCATTCGTGATTCACACCTTTCGTTGCACTAACTTGAGAAAGAACGTGTTGCCCTTGGAAGTTAAATGCACGAGTGAATGCCGATTCCCCAGCTGGAAGAAATTCTTGGAAATGACGAGGAATCTCGGAAAGCCAATGCATTGCAATCGGAAGAACTCCAAAGAGGAGAACCTGTCTCCGATTCGATTCGCAATAAAAGAGAAATATGCCATGATATCCCTGGGAAAAGGCTTTCGTTACCTCGTATCACGGCGTAAAGATTTTAACCTTGGGCAACTCGAAGCCAATTCCTTCATTGGATATTCTAGGATTCGCTGGTTATGAGTGTTTCTTTTTTTTATTTCCTCTTCTTTCGATTCCCCCCAAGAGATCGATTTACCATGCACCGGCTCACAGACAAAACTTTTCAGTCTTTTAGTTCATAAAATAGGAATGCAAGATGGACGTTCTTTCTCGAATTTCTGAACGAGCCTCGATGATCCGCCAAAAGTGACGAGACGCATTTAAAGAAAATCACGACCGACCCTGACGGCGCGAATGCAAGGAAGATGGGAGACGAGGCGGATGGCGCCGTGCCGCCCTTCATGGGAGTACAAGAGGACGTTCCGTGTGGGATCTGCTATGGACCGTGGAGTAGCCGTCCCTTAGGCCCGCATCCATTGAAGGGGCCTCGAAATGCCAAAGAAGGATGTCGGCGGACATACCTTTGAGGAACTTGAGGAGGTAGACTCGGTGGCGGATCTCCTCCGGAATGACGACGTCTCCCAGTCGTTCCTGCAACTGTACGGACACACGTGTTCATTTTTCTATCGGCGGCAGATGGATCGGGTGGAAACGCGAACATAAAGGAATACTTCAAGAGAATATCGACGGTCGATGTCATCGTTGAATCTGAGGATTCATTTTGCGTGCGTGGACCATCTGCTGTGACGTCACACCGTCCCTCTTTCCATTTTGGCGAGACGGAAGGAACTGACAATGTTAACCGGTTTTTGCCTCACGAAACCCGTCGTGGTCGTACCGCACCGGTCGAAATTCAACAGGGTCGAGTTTCTCCGCGTTTCAAATGCAGAAAGAACGGATCTTCTCGGATTTGGTGATCATTTCCATGGTTCAAATTTACTCAAGAGAGAGAACGTAATGATGAAGCGAGAAAAGTGGGACGAGCTGAAATCTACGGGAATCGCCATGGATCCTCCGGAATTTTAAACAAAAGTCAGTGAAATTCTCTGTCTGCCCAAGGAGGAAGGAATCGTTCACAAGTCTGCAGACGGTCAGTTGATGCGTATAAAATAAATGGCTCTCGCTTTATTACCAATACCAATACCAATACTTGGCACATGCGAAATTCCGGACTTGATTTTCCTGCACGTTCTGTGACGTCATGGTGGTCGTGGGATTATTCTTATCGAGGGGGCGCCGATTTCGCAACGCATTGGGGCGTGCTCATAAGGGATTTCGTCGGGGAATTCAGATATTAAAGGCAAAAATTGCCAAGGGCTTTTTTTTTTCCTTAGTGGAAATTTTTACCTCGAACAGAGAGGTTTTTTTGTGTTCGAGTTCTCTGAATTTTCTCCATCACGATTCTTAATCGCTGCTTCGTCATCTCTATTTTGGAGATGACTCATTCAACGCCGATGCGACGCTTTCTCGAGGAAAAATTTGCATTGCAACTCTGGAACAGCCTCGAAATAGACATACCGCTGGTTTAAAAAAAAAAAAAAATTAAAATAACATAAAACCGAATGAGCACAAAAAAAACAGACACGTGGGCGCGCTTCTGACTCCGATTTCCTTTTTGAAGAATTCTTGCATGGTAGCAATCGAGACTTCTGAGAAAAAGGCGAAATTTTGACTCGCTGGCTCCAACGGTTTTCGTGATATGCGGTCCGAAACTTAACCCGCGAGAGGAAAGGTGACCTTTGGGATGAAAGAGATACCTTTGGTCCGAGTCGAGCTAGAAAAGAGTTTTTGGACTCTAATTAAAGCTGAGACAAGGTAGGATCGTGTTATCCAATGGATTTTCCACTAGGTTCATTACGAATTGAGTTACACAATTTCCAAAATTGACACAACAAACTTTTGTAACGTTGTAGACCAAAGCAATGGCAATTCAAGAACTAAATTTCGACTCCCTACGTTGCTTGAAAGAACTTAAAATTAAATTTGATTTGTCCAAGATTGCCTATTTTCACCAAATTTGGCGATGAGTTTGTTTTTTTTTTTTTGGGGGGGGGGGGGCGATTCCTGATAACTCGAACTTCGGATAACTCGAAACGATTTGCCCGGTCCCTAAAAGTTCGAGTTAACGAGTTTTCACTGTATATGAAAAAAGCATGACGTGTGTTTCTTATGAAATAATTGTCATCCTTCCCACCTCTAATCCAATCGAGGAAACGAGCTGTGAAAGTGGCTGGAAATCTGAAATGCGTGGAACGATCGTTCAAACGATCAAGAGTGTGTTTTCGTTTTAGGCAACTTTCATCCTGTAACTTTTAATGTAACTCTAATTTAAAGGGTAAAAATGGTCAGTTTTCTAGCCTTTCCTGCCTGTTACTCAAAGGTTACACGTTTAAGAGTGTATCCATCCAACGGACAACACAAATTGCGTCCCTCTCTGGGGATTGCCTGAATTTTTTTTCACGATGAAGGAAGCAAGAAATGAATTGCAGGATATTACCCGTCATGAAATACACATACGAGGGATGGAATGAAAGAGATTGGACTCACGGCTCGAAACATCTTTTCTGCCCGGTCAACGTCGAAATCCCTCGCTAGAAAACACGGAAAAGCGGAAGTCATTCGCGAATCACGCCGTTCATTGCACTAACGTGAGAAAGAACGTGTTGCCCTTGGAAGTTAAATGCACAAGTGAATGCCGATTCCCCAGCTGGAAGAAATTCTTGGAAATGACGAGGAATCTCGGAAAGCCAATGCATTGCAATCGGAAGAATTGGGGAAGAGGAGAACTTGTCTCCGATTCGATTAGCAATAAAAGAGAAATATGCTATGATACCCCCGAAAAGGGGTATGGCATATCATGGCATATTTCTCCCCCGTAAAGATTTTAACCTTGGGCAAGTCGAAGCCAATTCCTTCATTGGATATTCTAGGATTCGCTGGTTATGAGTATTTCATTTTATTTCCTCTTCTTTCGATTCCCCCCAAGAGATCGATTCACCATGCACCGGCTCACAGACAAAACCTCTCAGTCTTTCGGTTCATAAAATAAGAATGCAAGATGGACGTTCTTTCTCGAAATTCTGAACGAGCCTCGATGATCCGCCAAAAGTGACAAGACGTATTTAACGAAAAGCACGACGGCGCGAAGCAAGGAAGATGGGAGACGAGGCGGATGGCGCCGCGCCGCCCTTCATGGGAGTACGAGAGGACGTTCCGTGTGGGATCTGCTATGGACTGTGGAGCAGCCGTCCCCTAAGCCCGCATCCATTGAAGGGGCCTC